CATGGTGGGGCTAAGCCATTTATTGGTATGGCTGTAGCCTACCCCAGCCATACCCTGACCGCAAATACCTCATTCCTTCTGTCTACTTGTATTCGAAATGCTTCTCGTTTTGCGCTGTCCTCCCTTTCAAATGAAATCGCCGACAATCATATTTCCAAGCTCGCGCCAGGGGGGGAGGGGTTACAAGGCTCGCGTCTTGTGCTGCATTCACTTGCACTCGGACATTAGAGATTTTCCCTCATAAATGTCCGATGAGCCACAACTTTTCTTTCAAAACAAAGCTGCCAACTGGGGTGATAGCTGGGGTGGCAAGGCATTTTTCAGAGGTGGCAGCTGCCACCCCGTGCCACCCCGTAGAACCGCCACTGCATACAACTCAAGGCCGGAGTGATGTCCTGTTTATGAATAACTCTTTGTATTCTTTCAGTGTCTGCACCTGACCTTGCTACTCTGTATTGCAGGCTAAAGACGTCTATTTATTCCAAAATCACAGCCACAGAAATGAGCACAATAAGCTTATAATGTAATAATAAGAATCAGTCTTTCTAATGTTATATAAAAATAGACTCCACAACGGCTTACCGTCATATTCAAATGTGAACCAAAATGGACTACCTTTGTGTACAGGGACACTGAAAAATGCCTCAACATGTTGAATCGGCGTCGGGAACACCACCGGAAGTCGGACAAACGGATAACACTGATTGGCTGTTCAGCTAGCGAATCAGTGCATGAGAAGCGTTAACGGAAGTGAGGGAGGTAAACAAATGATTTAAAATGGAAGATGGAACACACACGGACGGCTATTTCACCTCATCGGTTTATAGAGCTCCTGTTCGTTCATGTTTTCAATGGACGAGAGTGAACATGGAAAGAAAAACGCTATTTGTTGTTTGTTTATATCACGGAGTCTGTTCTTCTTCTCTGTCTTCCGGTTGTTCCGGTTGTTGCCTCTTTTGAATGATGAATACAAACTACCGCCGCCTGCTGGTAAGGAGAGTTATTGCCACTCACGCATGCGCAGTTCATACATGCTCGGCTCGGATTTGCGGTGTGTTCCAGTGCGCGAAGTTGGCAAATACGCAGGAGAGTCCGGCGACGCAACAGTCGGTGTCGGCGTCGTCGACTTCTCAGGTGACTGGCCGGTGTATCTGGGCCTTAAGTCATAACACTTATGTCTAAAGTAAAAGCCCAGTAGACTTGAGCCAACTGTGATTATACATATTTGCTATTTGTGGCATTCAGATTTGCTTTGGACCTTTTTAAACTGAATAACGGTAATTTAATTTTGGTCTTCATTATTGTACGTTGCGAACCTACATTTCTCCCAAAAGAAGACGAAATATTGATTAACAATAAAATGCCCTTAGCTGAGAAATGAATCGCTACATAGGTAAAGATTCACGTCACTGCTGAATGTATCGATTTGATTGTCTATAATCTTTGTTCTACGTGTCATTTTTTAATGCAGAAAGAGTACAGACCACGCAGAAGAGGCGCCGTGAAGAGGGTCCACATAGAGGCTTCAAATCGCTAAAGCAGAGCAAATAGTGTGCAAAAGGTCGATTAAAAAGGGAGTCCCAGTCAGTCTGGAACTTTTGGATAGCGTCTTTATCTGCACTGGCATCAGCTGACACAGAAGCAGCTGTAACTAACAACCATCGCTAACCATACAATTCCTTGTTCTTCAAATAAGACATGTTATGCATCCCAGGAAAGGCGGAAAGCATTTAGACTATAATTGAAGACAAAGAACCCTGGAACTGCGAGATGTAAAAGGCAAAAACATTTGATCTCCAGTATCCACATCCAGCTGTTGTGAAGACCTCTATTGTCTTCCACTACAGTATGTCAACTGTTGATCGTTATCATCAATGTTCTCATTCAAGTGATGGGAACATATAACACATTCTGGAGTTGCCTACCTGACATATAGGACCTGGATAACACACAGTGGTATCTTTCTGAAATATCTCCCAATATTTCTTTAGAGAGACAAATATTGGGAAATAAATACATTTTTCATAAATGTACATAACGTGATTCCAGTTTTTAAAAGCTCTGGACACTAAAAGGAGATGTACAGTAATGAAAATACAACCTCACTGTCAGGTTTGACAATAAAGAATGCCTTTATAAAGGCTATCGGACATGTTTTCAATATTTATTGTTTTTATTTCAAACTTTATATATCTGGTTGTGTGGTTTTACAATACCTTTTGTAAATAATGTGTTACGAAAAAATAAACCTATTGGATATGCATGTCATTTTCTCCCATGTGATTGTAAATATTATATTTTTGTATAAAGAATGACTCAATTAAAACTGTATTGGAATGGCAATAAATGACAAACATTGTTATATAATTTTGATTCATCCTTTTATTTGCACTTTCTGTAAAATGGTTTTATCACACCATTCTCTCAACAAGAATGAAGGTATTAGTATGCCTTTTTAAAGTCTGATAATCCTGCATAATGTTTTGTGTTGACATCTAGCCATGCGAAATATTCTCAGAATGCTATACTTTCAACGAATTTGCAAAAAAGATTAAACCAAGTTTGTACTCATAACCCCTTATGCCCCATAGTCAATATTTTTCACGCTGAACATCTATAGAATTTTGTTTTCCGAGAACAGCTTTAAAGGGGGGAAATATCTGCTCTTGTTTTAATTGAAGAGATTGATATATCCCATTCATAGGTTTTTTTCCGTTCTAGATCAAACCAAATAGAGGGGACATGGTTGTTTCCAGGAAATACTCAAAAGTGTACTTGAGTATATTGATATATCTATTTACTCAAGTACACTGCCAAAATGAACTATCGCATGCAAGCAGCGTTTAACAATCAATACATTTGCCAATGGCTTATCAAGCTTTATAACCCTCATTTGTGGTAATAAATATTTGATATAATAGGTTGTTTTGTATAGGGCTTGGCTTAGTCTGTCCCCTTCACTCTTATTAAACTGTTTAAGAAAATACAATTATTACAAAAGGAGGTTTAATATTCTTTAACCAATGTAATGTATGAGGGAGTCACGTTGTGTGAGCATCACGCAGCGTTGTGCTGTTAGCCTCGAGCAGGCTTTCTGTAGGAGGCAGCACGCTGTGAAAATCTCATTGAGAATCCACTGTAGCTCCTCCGTGTCCAATGGCTGCTGACGGTCAGTGGGCGGTGATAGTTGAGTTCAAGCCTCTATAAATTGTTCCGGCACACAGAGGCAGGTAGAGTTGCCGGTCCTCGATCCTGTGTTTGTTTGACTAACGCTGAAGATGGAAAATACCCAGGACAATTTGCAGAGGAAGCCTGTTCGCCTCATTGCGGCTGCCTGCAATGACATGGGCATCGGGAAAGAGGGGGAAATGCCCTGGAGTTTACCGTAAGAGTGAAACCTTTGTGATGATGTCTCTTATGTGACTCATTCAGTCAGGAAATGTCTCTAGTCTATATAATGAGATGTTGCTGTATCGAAGAGAGCCTCTGTATAATATAACCGGTCTGGCCCTGTCATATAGGCTACAATTTGACTTGATATTGATATGCTGGAGCCTTTGTATCCACATGTGTGCAATATGACAGCCCAATGGTGAGTATTTCCAACTATTAGCTTGTATCCCACTATCTCCCAACCTCTAGGAAAGTCTAGTGGAAAGTTTACATAGCCCATGAAAGCAGCTTCTAAGAGCTATTCTCACTGTCAAATGTGTATTATTTTTCCATCAATGTGTACCAGAAGTGTCAATATAGGCTACATGCATACTTTGTTGGAGGTGATGATGCAATGTAAATCGACCCGCTGTGGGACTAATAAAGGAATTTTGATCAAACAGCTGTGAGCCGACATAAAGCTTTGGACAACTTTGCAATATTTCTAAATGACAAATGAAAAATTGTCATTTTATTTCCTTGATTATGTCATTTGATGAAAGCAGTGTATGCTGAAGTTCTTGGTGTATACAGTAGGTGAAAGCAGCAGCAGTGCTAGTTGAGAGAGACAGTACTCATAAAAGCAGTGTCTTTTGAGCTTATACAACATAGTAAAATCTGAAAAAGAGTTGTTCTGATGTTTTAAAACTATACATCTCATTATGGGGCATCCTGTGCTGTATGTGGAAACTGCATTCGGCTACATGGGGTTATTTTTGCTTAACAGCTAACTTTTGTCTGCCTGATTTTAATATTCAACATTTCACCCTTACAGATCTGAATTCCAGTGGTTCCTGAACAAAGTCACAACGGTGTCAAGACCAGGTATGCCTCAACGTCCATATTTCATCATATTGTCGCCATCTTATTTAGGGCTGGATTTTAAAAGCTGAAAAAGTTGAGATGTGGAAAGTCAAATATGCTATTCTTTTTTGTTTCAGGAAAGTTCAATATGATGGTGTGGGGGAAAAAGTCCTGGTTCTCCCACCCAGAAAGTACTTTCCCACTGCCCAATATTCTTCATGTGGTGCTGAGTTCGACACTGGAGTGAGTGCTCTCTCTCACTAACATCTGCTTTGAGATTCCAGTTTTGTTTGGGTTACCCAGAAACCAATCCCAGATTTCTTATTGTTCTTGTGAAAATAACAAACTTTTCTCCTCTTACAGCTCACCTCCAGATCATGCCCACTTTGTGGGGTCAGACCTAGAGGCAGCTGTCCGCCTGGCTGGGAGCCCCCCCCTCGCTGACCTGATAGAGACCATCTGGATTGTTGGAGGAGTGCAGGTCTACAAGGTAAGCGTGTTTCATTGAAGCCTCGTGATACATTATGGCAGAGAGCACGGCAGGAAAATTAGTTTTGGGCAATCAGCTATGGCCCCTTTCCTCGCATGACTCCCAGCATAAGGTGACCAGATTTTCAAAATTAAAAACGGGGACATTTTGAGTTTTGCGGTCAATATATCATTAACATATCCACTTTTCTTCACTGTTAAAGAAAAAAGGGGAACAATTCTGGTTCAATGTAATTCGAACATTTGAACGACGAT